CGCGGGGGGTGGTGGGAGGTGGGGACAGGGAGAGCCAAGCCTGGGGCTCGGAGCATCATTCCTTCCAGTCTGTCAGAGCCAGAGGCATCAGATGGGGCTCCTGCCCGTCCGGGACCCACCTAAGCATGCCCGGGCAGATGTCCTCAGTGTCATAATCGGGCTGACAAGGTGCTTTGAGCACACCGAGGAGGGGACAGTCAGTGCTGATGGGGGGATCTGCGAGGCTCCTTAAGGGAGTCGGGAAACTTCCTTGGACCTCAGGTTGCTCCTCTGTAAAGCAAAGTTTCCCTCCAAAACTCTAATCTGCATCTGCGAGCTTGTGGGCTTATGGGATTAGCAGGACTTTAACAGAATGGATGCACGGGGGTGGGGGACTGGGGAGACCTCAGGAGAGACCCCCCCCAGGCTGAAGGAAGGGCCTGAGCAAAGCACGGGGGGTGGGCAGTTGCCCAGAGAGCCTGAGAGAGACCTCGACTGAGGCCAAGGAGCTGGAGTGAAGCGGGAGGATGAGATACAGGCTCGGGCAGTCTACACCAGCACACAAGGGGCAAGGAGGCCAGAACTCCATCCCCCTGCCCCCCTGCCCCCTCCATGTTCACCCAGAGCTGACTCTGAGGTTGCCACAGGGGCCATCGAGCTGGACCTGAACCGGTTCCCGCGGGGTGCGAAGACAGCCAAGCAGTGCACCATGGAGATGGCCACCGGGGAGGTGGACGTGCCTCTGGTTTCCATCTTCAAGCAGAAGCGTGTCAAGGGCTGGTGGCCCCTCCTGGCCCGCAACGAGAATGACGAGTTTGAGCTCACGGTGGGCACCACCTCCTGCCCGGGCTGTGGGCGTGGGCAGGGCCTGCCTGGGCGCTGAGGGCCCACACCTGGCCTGGGCACTGGGACCTTTCTGTCCTTCTCTGCAGGGCAAGGTGGAGGCTGAGTTGCATTTACTGACCGCAGAGGAGGCAGAGAAGAATCCGGTGGGCCTGGCCCGCAATGAACCTGACCCCCTAGAGAAACCCAAGTGAGTACCCTGCCCGCCTGGCCCTCCTGCCGGGAACAGATTCTTGGGAGCACTGGAACAGGAAGGAGGGGCCAGAACTTTCCAGTCTTCTTTGCCCCTACTCCCCAGGGACCCTCTCTGTTTCTTTCTGGGCCACAGCCTCATAGCAGGGGGCCCCCTCCCTCCCCTCTGCTGCCCCTGAACCCCACCACCTCCCTCTAAACCAGAGGACAGCTATGAGCACAGGGAAGCAGTTCCTCTCCCAGGAGAGGCCCCACTGAGCAGAGCTAAATGCTCTCCCTGGGTTTTGCCAAAGCAAGCAGCTCCTATGGTGGCATTTGGGGCCCCAGCCAGCCTTGGTGGCCGGAAGGAACCCAGAACTCCACACACGCAGCCCAGCTCGGCTTCCCTCTTGGCCGGACCCTCACCACAACCCAGCCCTCATCCTCCCGGTCCTTTCTCTGCGCTCCCTCTGCTCTTGCACCACCCCAGCCGGCCCGACACCAGCTTCATCTGGTTCCTGAACCCTCTCAAGTGTGCCCGCTACTTCTTGTGGCACACCTGTCGCTGGCTGCTCCTCAGACTGCTGCTGCTCCTGCTGCTGCTCCTCCTCCTCGCCCTGTTTCTCTACTCCGTGCCTGGCTACCTCGTCAAGAAGATCCTTAGGGCCTGAGCCCGCAGCCTCCTGGGTCTGATACTTCTCCCTCTTTCCTCTGCACCAAGGGCTGGGCAGCATATGGAACACACACTCGCATGTGCACACACGTGTTCACAAACACGCACGCACACATGCGCACATATGTGCACGCACATACACATACACACACATGCACATGTTTACAAATATAAACAGGCACACACGTCAACAAACACACAGTGCACATGTGCACATATGCCACACATGTGCGTGCGCGCAAGCACATACACATGCACACATGTACACATGTCTACAAACATAAACAGGTACACACATGTGCATACACGTGCACACAAGCACATACACACACAAGCCCACACATACACAGCAACTTTGAAGTTTTCAAGACGGAGTAATAGACTCTCAGAACTAAAAACGACTATTTTCCATGTTTACATATTGGGCCAGACAGGTGAAGTCACTCACTCAAGGTCACTCAGCAAATTAGAGTAGAGCTGGGACTGGAGCCCAGGTTCCTGAGTCACCAATCCAGTGATCTTGTCACTACACCCCCTCCACTCCCAACAACATCCCTGACAGACTCTAACTCAATTGGCAGACAGGAGAAGGGAGAAAGGATTTGGCTAGGATTAGCCGCGAGTCCGGAAATAGTTCCCACCCGGGTGTGACCTCCCAATCCAGAGCTGTTTTCTGCCCTGCAGGATGATAATTCCATCCAGCTCAAACATCTAACAGTCACCACTGCCTAAGCACCCACTCACGTGCTCAGACCTCCACAGCCATTGTCCCCCTCCACCATGTCACCAGCTCCAGGAGGCAGGGACCACCATTAACCCCATTTTAGAAACAAAGAAACTGAGGCTCACAGAGGTGCCTAACTCGCCCACCACAGCTGGCATTGGAAACCAGGTGCCCTGCGCCTGAGCCCCTTCCGTGTGGCCCCACCACTACCGAGCTCAGCTCTCGGGGTGCAGTCCACATCCTCTGGGAGGTAGTAGTTTGAAAAAGCACATTCAGTCCTTTAAATTTTTTTTTGGCTTTTTGAGACAGAGTTTAGCTCTGTCGCCTGGGCTAGAGTGCCGTGGCATCAGCCTAGCTCACGGCAACCTCAAACTCCTGGGCTCAAGCGATCCTCCTGCCTCAGCCTCCCGAGCAGCTGGGACTACAGGCGTGCGCCACACTAACTTTTCTATTTTTAGTAAAGACAAATGTCTCGCTTTTGCTCAGGCTGGTCTCAAACTCCTGAGCTCAAGCGATCCTCCTGCCTGGGCCTGACAGAGTCTTAGGGTTACAGACGTGAGCCTACAGGGGCTGCTCTGACCCTCGCAGGGCCAGGTGGGGCAGAAGTTTATGTCCGTCAGACAGGAGAAGGTTAAACAACACTGATCTCACTGAGGACGGGGGCAGCACACAGAATGCACTGCTCACCACAGGAGCTTGCTGGCAATTAGAACTGCAGGCAGTGGTGGCCGTGGCTGCCCACCGCTGCAAGTGGCAGGTAGTGGCTGGATGGCTACACCACTGCCAGAAAGTGCCATTTAGGCCTTGGGAGGAGATGGGGCATCTGAGCTCCTGCAGGGAGGATAGGGTTTTGTAAGTAGCAAATCTGGTGCTTAGACCTAGGCTCAAACCCTGGCTTCAGCACTCACTACTTTGGGAGATGCAGCCATGACAGGACTTCTTGGGGTCTAGAAGTAAAGGGGGGGTCCTGGGGGGCGGCTCTGGCCCACTGTTTGACCGGCTCCTCCCTCCGCTCCGCAGCCGGCCCGACACTGCCTTTGTCTGGTTCCTCAACCCCCTCAAGTCCATCAAGTATCTCATCTGCACCCGGTACAAGTGGCTCATCATCAAGATCGTGCTGGCGCTGCTGGGGCTGCTCATGCTGGCCCTCTTCCTCTACAGCATGCCCGGCTACATGGTCAAGAAGCTCCTGGGCGCGTGAGGGCCTGCCACCTCCCGCCAGCACTGCTCCCGGCCGCCACGTTTGCCCCTCCTGTGGCCTGGACTCTTCCCCATGTCCCTCCTCAAAACTCAGGCCCTGGGATCTGCCTTCTGCTTGCTGGGCTGCCTTCCTCTCTGCCCCCGGCTGCTGCTTGCCCGGCCCTGCCCCTCTGATGCCCACCTGTGGGTTGGGGCCACCTGGACTGCCCACCTTGCTGAGGCTCCTCCCTTCAGGCCCTGGCTCCCGGGGAGGCCTCCCCCAAGCCTTACAAGTCTAGGATTAAAGCTTTCATGAAAGTAACTAAGGATCCTGGGCCAGCGCCCAGGGCGTGAAGAGAATGAATGAGCAAAAGGCATCCCCACCCTGTCCCTGCAGACAGCACCAGTCTTCACTGTGTATCAGGGGCCTGGCCTGACCCTCAAACCCACAGGGCCTTGCCCACTTCAGGCTCTGCTGGCTCCTCCTCCTCCCAGGCAGCCGCCTCGGCCTGGGTGCACAAGCCCAGTGCCTGTCCTGCCTGCGAGTTCTGTCACTTCCCAGAGCTCCTTCTGCCCAGGCTCGTGCTCACACGCCAGAGGAGGGGTGGTGACAAGCAGGAGAGGGAACCCTGCGCCCTCCCCACCCCCAGGCAGCCCCTGCCTCGGTTCCCCTGGGCTGCGGCTTGCACTGCAGGTGCTGCCCTGCTGGCGTCTGAGTTTCTGTTGGCTGTTTTTCCTTTCCCGGGTGATGAATTTTCTCTTAATAAAAGAAATCAAACACTGAGCTGACAAGTCTGCATTGCTCAGGTACAGGACAGCCACAGCCTGGGGGCCAAAGTCAGCAGGGCTCTAGGTCAGTAAGCTCAGTGCCAGCTGGGCCCGATGGCTTTCCTCCTTTGGGTACCTCTCCTGGCCCAGGGTTCAAGATGGACCTCAGGTCTCACACCACAGCCCAAAGAGCACACCAGGGTGGACCTAGGGGCCCTCAAAGCACCAAGAGTCCTTTAGGCCCAAGGACAGTCTGAAGGTTTAGGACCCCACAAGGGCCCAAAAGCTCCAGCCTCCACCCAGAGAAAGCAGCTCTCTCCAAAAGCCAGACAGGAGCTCTCTGCCGCTGGCCTCTGCCTCTGACACACCACGGTCTAAGCCCGGGACAGAGTCCCCTCATGGCACAGAGGTGGAGATAGGGGCCGTGTCTCACTAGACTCGACCTCTTTAAAGAGATTCAGCCACAACTTTTATTAATAAAACACTTTAATCATAATGGCAGGATACAGGTAACTCCTCTTGCTGCCTTATTTTGATTGGCTATAAAGAAAACTCTGGAAAATCCGGAGAGCGGGCCCAAATGCAGTCCCCTGGGTGACATGTGCCAGCCCCAGCACCAACACGAGCAGCAGCCCTAACATGTCAGCCTTTTGAGGTCCAGCTCTATTTTGTGGGTACCCGGAACACCTGAGTCGGAGGAACCTGCAGCTGAGAGTTTATCTGCAAAAGAAAGGGTGACGGTCATTACGTTTTCCCCAGGGCCCTCCTTCTTCATGACCTCTGTGGGGTCAGGTGTCCATGCTGGCCCTCCCATGGGCCTCCAAACCCCTGCAAGCATTTCCTCCCCAAAGCCAAGAGGGGCCTCGGAAGGTGCAGGCTACTTCCTTTAGGGGACAGGTCTCAGCTTCTGCTCAGCTAGGAACCTCGGCGAGGTTCCTAATCTTCCCTCCAGCCACTCTCTTTGACCCTTCCCTCTCCTCTTCACGTGTCCATTCTGTCCCCATCCTAACCTGCCCTTACCGCCTCCTCCGCCACCCTCTTGTACACAGTAGCATCCATGCAAGCAGGGACCATAGGGTCCCCAAATGTCTGGGTCCTATCATGGGCCAAGAGGCCATCATGATGCCAATGCCACCATCTCCCCCTTTCAGCTGTGGCCTGGAACCTGGGACCATGCTGGGGCCACATATCCCTGTTCTTAGACTCAGGGCTGGCTTCTGTCACCTCACACATGTGCAGCTGACGGCTGTGTCAGGACCCCCCAGCCCACGGCCCCAGCATCGGGAAGGATCCACATCCACACACAGAGCAAGCAACTGTTACGAAGGGACATCCCCTTTCTCTCCCTGCCAGGCCAGGGGGACATTGCCACAGCTGTGGCTGGAGTAGGCACAGGGGAGGCCAGGGAATATCCACCCCCAGACCTCCTCCCCATGTGAGGACGACCCTCCAGTCGTACCACAGGCCAGAGAACCTGGGCTGGCAGAGCGGAAAGGGCCAGGGCTCTGGACGAGTCACAAAGGTTCCTAGTTTTGATTCTCCTTGTTGTGAAATGGGAGAATAATTTCTGCCCCAGCTACCTCTCAGAGTGATAAGACGGCATGGAAGACAGAAACACAGCTGGAGAGAGCCCTGTCACTGTGAAGCTACTTCTCGCTTTGCTTTCAAAAGAGTGTCCCAACAGGAGCTGGGACCAAAGAACACCAGCATCAAAGAGCTGCCGTCACACCCTGGCTGCCCTGCGGGAGGCTTTGGGCAATATCCACTCCCTCCCCCGATGATAACTGTTGATTTTTACATCACAGCCTGAAGCTCCCTTGCCTTGGGTAGCAGAGGGGACGTTTCCTAATGTCAGTTTCAGGTCCCCAGCCCCCCTCCCTGCCTTCCACCCGCCGCTTGGAGGCCCCACCACCCACCTTAGAGTCCAGATACTGTTGCAGCAGCATCTGCAGTTCTGTGTTCTGCTGCTCCAGAGCTTCGTTTTCCATCAGCAGCTTGGCCCTCTGGGTCAGCACAAGGCTTTGGGCAGAAAAATAGGTTAGAGGCCATCGAATCCTCTAGCCTCTGCCAGAGTCTCTGTGCTTCTGTTTGGGAGGGAGGTGGTGGGAGTCCCCAGAAGCCTCACCATTCACCCGGCCACCAGACGATCCAGCCTAGCAGACACAGAACAAGCAGGGCGGGCCTGAGAGCCGGCCACCCAACATGATCCGCCCCCCACAAGAGGTGCCAAAAGCGGCTCTTCAATCCCAGATGTCATGGGACAGGGAGGCGGCAAACGTGGCCATTCCAAGCAACCGTCCTCATCTACCTGCCAGCTCCCACCGGCTCCTGGCCCACGACATCTACACTTACTGGTATTTCTGCAAGGCTGTGTAGAGGGCATCCCAGAGGTTCTGCTTGGCAGGAGGGACAACCGTGGTCAGGGCCTGCCAGTACTCAGAGTCCCTGGAGTCATTGCGCACGCCCTTCTGCACTCTCACTGGTGCACGTGAGTCCCTGCAGGTGGAGAGCACTGGTGCCGCCATCCCCACCTGGCACCACCCAGGCCCCCAAGCGGTGCCAGTCGCAGTGCCAGCCACAGACTTACTGCCTGCACCTGCACCACCCTACTCAGCTGTCCACATTTATTAGATGATAGCAGAGTCTCAGAAAGGACACACTTATCACCAACCTTCCTGACTCTCAGTGCAGCTGCCACATTGTGAAGGTATCACTGGCGTCTCATCCGCCCCTCTCCCTCCCAATCAGTTTACCTCGCTGGCTTCACAGCTCATCGCTGTGGCCGTTTCCTCCACCACTGCGGCAGAACAGCTCTCGATTCTGTCATGTGCTGTCCATCCCCTCCATGACAGCCTCAGTCCAGGAGATCGCCACCTCCCACCTGGACCAGTCTCCAGACTGGTCTCCCTGTATCCAGCACCACCCCCTCCCCGTTGCCGAAGTGATTTTTCTAGATGCAAATCTAATCATGGCTCCCCTCTGTCCACCATGCAGTAAAGACAAAGATCGTAGGCACATCAGGCAAGGACCGCCAAGATCCGGCTGGCTCCCCTCACATTGGTCCCCCCTCCAGCCCCTGGACACTCCAGCCATACCCCCATCATGACTCTTGAACATCCAGGCCTTCCTCGTGCTTTTATGTCCCCAAATGCCCTTTCCTCTACTTTATCCTCCTAGGAACATCCAGTTCTGGTGCCGTCTGTCCCAAAACCCTCTCTGACATGCCAGATGGAGATGACCACTTCTCCCTCTGAACAACATTACATCTTGAATATGCTTTGGCTGTTGTTCTGATCACAAGGCATTATCTTGCAGTGCCTACACGTGACAGACTAAAAGAAATGAGTTTTTTTTGGTTTTTTTTGTTTTTATTTCAGCATATTATGGGGGCACAGATGTTTAGGCTACATATGTTGCCCTTGCCCCCCCTTCCCCCCTAAGTCCAAGTTTCAAATATGTCCATCCTTCGGGTGGTGTGCATTGCACTCTTTGTGTATGCAAATACCCGTCCCATCCTCCCTCCTCCCCCCTCCCTCCCTCCCCTGCCCAACATTCAATAGATGTTATTCTTATATGTACACTTATGTGTTGATCAGTTAATACCAATTTGATGGTGAGTACATGTGGTGCTTGTCTTTCCATTCTTGGGATACCTCACTTAGTAGAATGCGTTCCAGCTCTATCCAGGAGTATACAAGAGGTGCTATATCACCATTGTTTAAAAGAAATGTTTGTTGAATGAATGAATGATGAATGAAAAAAGCCCAGATCGCTCACTACTACACCACATTTGGTTCCTGAGTAAGTCTGTCAATCCCTCTCGCCCTCCTTGGGAGAGCCATTTACTCTCTCCCCCATCTCCCGCTCCACATCCTGTCTGGACTCTTCCTCACTCACTAGCTCTGCGTGGCTGCCCTGCCCATCCAGCACCCCATCTCGAGCAAGCACCAGCACCACGGCCTACCTGGGCTTCTTCAGACCCATGACGAAGGCCTCCAGGATCTTGAGGACGTCATTGGGGTGGATGAGCCAGGGGGAGGGCGGGCTCTCCTTCTCTTCCTCCTGCTCCCCCTCCTCCACCTGGGGTTCCTCCTGCTCCCCCTCCTCCACCAGGCTTTCCTCCTGCTCTCCCTCCTCCGCCAGGCCTTCCTCCTCTTCCCCCTCCATCGCCAGCTGCTCCTCCAGCTCCAGGTCGGACACCACGCTTGGCTGCTCCGCGTTTGCCTGATGGAGGGGCTTGACCTGGAGAAAGGCGCAAGGGCAGCTGTGGGCTGGAGATACACGCATGCGTGTGTGAAGAGAGACGGGAAGAGGAGAACGCAGAAAAGCTTACAGAAAGTTACAGACAGCTTGCAGAGGGAGACATTTACCAAGGACAGAAATAGGAGAAAGGGGAAAGAAGGAGGATGGGACAGGGAAGCGCTAGTGGCTTCAAAACAATAATGGTCTATTTCTAGATCTGGGATCACAGGGGTTCATTGTGTTGATATTCAAAAAGCTTACGTGTTATAAATCTCCTTTTGAATCATAATACAAACTAAATTTTTGGTTTAATTTTTAAATTTAAAAGTCTTCCTCCAACTCCTATCTTGCACGTCATTGAATTTACCTACCACAAGCAAACTAATTTTATCAAGTTTCTTATGTATCTCTACAAGGAAATATTATGCCTATATAAATATATACATACTTTGCCATATATATTTTTCCTTCCCATTTTTATATAATGATACTATACTACACATGTAGTTCTGTACTTGGCTTTTTTCAAATACCAATAAACCTTAGAGATCTTTTCACATAAATACATAAAGAACTTCTTTGGTTTTTTTCACAGTTGCATGATATCCCATTGTGTAGATGCACCATTATTATTAAATAAATTCCGCAATGATGGAGGTTGTTTCCAATCCTCTGCCACTTCAAACAATGCTGCAGTGAATAAGCTACAGTAAACATCATTTCAACCGTATTGAGATACATCTATAGAATAAAATCCTAGAAGAGGAATTGCAGCACAAAGTGTACACAGTTTTGTAATTGATATTTCCAGATTATCCTCAGGGAAGGTTACAACAATTTACACTCCTAACAGCAACTTATGAGTATGCCTGTTTCCCACACCTCAGTCGTCACTATGTGTTATCAAACTTTCAGGTTTTTGCTAACCTGACAAGTGAAAAGTAGAATTAAGGCAGTTTTAATTTGCATTTCTATTATTATAAGGAAGGCTAATTGTCTTTTCATACATTTAAAAGTTATATATTGCCTCATCTTGGAGGTGTTCATTCATATTTGTTATCTGTTCTATTGAGTTGTTGATTTTTTTCTTACTAGTTTAAAAGAGCTCTTTATATATTAAGGAAATTAGCCCTTAACTGTGATATGAGTTGAGAATATTTCTCCCCAGCTTGTCATTTGTCTCTTACCTTTCCTTTAGTGATTTTTGCCCTACAGACGTTATTCTGATATAGGCAAATGTATCTTTTTTTTCCTTTATTGCTTCTTGGTTTTGTCCACTCAGCCAACTCTTTTTGGAAGTGTATCAGGATACACTTGGGCTAGCAATACTAAAAACATTTTTTAATTTAGATTTTTAATTTTTAAATTAAAATTTCACAGTATTTTTAATATGGTGACTTTTTCAGAATAGTAGATATTTGATTCTCCTACTGAAATCAGTTACAATCAAGATATGTATTACAGACGGGCCTTGTATTGCAGGAAAGTGTTTAAGGACCAAAATATGCAGAACTTGATGGTCTCACAGGGGCTGAGACTTGGCTTTGAAGGAACGTACAGAAAGATCCCTAGGCCTCAGCATAAGAACAGCATCTCACCCCCTGCTGTTCTTCCCTTTGCAAATAGAAAAATTAATACTAATAAGGAAAATGATAAGTTAGCTATACCTGACATAAAACCCCCACTGTTTCTCCAGAAGTATTATTCAAAGGCAGCAATGTCCTCTGGGGGCTTCCAGGGCAACTGAAAACACTCTTCTTAGCTGCACCCCACCTTACCTGGATGGGGGATATATGATGAGCTCGGAATTTAAGGAAGAAGTTCACCAGTTTATACAAGTCATCCTCACTTTCAATTCCAAGGGCCTGGGGAAAAAATAGGACAGTTGTTCAAACACCCCATCAAAGGGGCGATAGGCTTGGGGAGTTAGACTCTCAGCTCCTAGGAGCAGGGGGCTTGGCTTGTCCCCTCAACACCCCCACTGCCTGCCATGGTCGCAAGTAGAGGACAATCAGCCAACGGTGGGAAATGGCAGTGAAATCAGGGGTTCGTGTCAGCACAGACGGGAAGAATGCTCACAGTCGGGAACCGCTCCATACAGACCCGGTGGGCGTGAGAATGCTAATAGGTGCTGAACAGGCACCTGAGTTTGGGGGCAGGGGCGAAACCTACAATCTGACAGCTGGGCCCTGAGAGGAAGAAGCTAGTAGAGGAAGGGTTGGGTGGGAGACATCTGAATGGTGCAGAAGCCCATGGTCGTGTGGAGAGTAAGTCAAGGCAAATATGCAAGCATGAGCCCGGGGAAGACCATCTTCTACTCCCGGGGCTGAGGCAATGTAGGGAACGCATGGGGGCCCTCTCAGAATGGGACAGGCTGCACCCCACCTTGTCCCCTCAACCCAGTGCAACTCACTGAGAAGATGGCATCCAGCCTCAGCAGATAGCACTCGCTCTTCTCCAGGGGAAGGAGGAGGCTCAGCAGCTTGCTCTCTATGAGGAAACCCTGAGGAGAGGGAAGAAGGCATCTCCTGTCAGAGACAGGCTTCAGGAAGCAGTCCCAGGGTCTGCAGCTGCCCTCTGTGTGACACCTTAGGGACGAGCCCATGGGGCAGGCCCCCAGGGATGAGACTCGGCGGTGGCCCAGAAGAAGGCCTTCTTGGGATGCTGGGAGCCGTTCCCCGGAAGCACAGCCAGGCACAAAGCCCGTCTTCATCAGCGTAGCTTGCCCCCACCTCATACGGGGGTAACTCACCCACCCACAAGCCACTGGGCAGACCCCTGCGTCCCCACAGCAGTCCAAACCTGACCTCAGCCACACTCTAGTCCCCAAACATCTGCAGAACACAGCAGAAGGCACTGAGCTCGAGGGAGGAGGGGAGGGAGGGCAGTGGATGCGCCACATCAGAACGCAGTGCTCAGGAAGCAGAGGAGAGGGCTGGCTGGGAAGCCGTGAGCGCCTGCTCTGGGGTGGTGGGGGGGGACTTTGTGGGCAGGTGGCCCCCTGGTGTCAAGCTGCAGACAGGGCACGACCTGCCAGCTGGCTCCCTCAGTAGGAGCTGCCCTCAGCGGCAGGAGCCAGCCCTTGTGCCAAAGAAAACTGCCCCAACAACCATACAATCTAAGCCAGCACTGATCATGTTTGGTAAGAACCCAACACCCAGCTGAGCCAGCTCCAGTGCAGCTTTTATTCTAAACCTAACCATTTTTGCTGCCACGCAATGCAAATACCCAAAGCCTAACAACCCAGAGTAACCCTAAGCCAAGCTCCCAGAGAAGGGCCGTGCCAGTCAGATCACTCAGCAGGTGGGTTCATGGAGGCTGGATGGTGCCCCTGCTAGCTCAGAGCGAGCACTGCTTTACACGCAGGACCCCTGCTGGCCTGGACTGCGCTTTGCTGACCCACTAAGGTGAGACCCATTTGCCAGCTGGGCCAGCTCTAAGGCCCGGCTCTGTAAACTGCCCCCCGAAGTCCGGGGGCCATTTCCTGGTCGGGTCCTCAGGCCGGGTCTCTGGGCTTGGCCAGGGGCGGGCTGGCCCTCTCCCAGCTCCAGGCCACAGCTGGCCCAGCAGAGTCCTCAGAAGCAGCACGCACGCGGGTGTCGCCCTGCCGCAGCCCCAGCCCAGCCTTACCGACTCATCACACAGGAGCATTAGGATCTTTTTGGTGGTTCTTGGGGAAACTTGCTTTGGCAGGTCCAGGTAAGACTCTGGTTCTGAGGTGGCCTCTTCTGCTTCCTCTTCTGCAGATGGGTCAGGGAGGGAAGAGAGAGAAAAAAAGAAAAGAAAGATAATTTCTTTTTTTTTTATTTCAGCATATTATGGGGGTACAAATGTTCAGGTTCCGTGTATTGTCTTTGCCCCACCCAAGTCAGAGCTTCAAGCGTGTCCATCCCCCAGACGGTGCGCACCACACCCATTAGGTGTGTATAGGGAAGGTAATTTCTTGGCCTAGTTCCCTTTGAGAAACAGTCAGATGGCTTTCCTTGAGAAAACTTTCCTCTAAAAAAGCCTCTTTGAGGCATCAGCACAGTCTCTTTATGCTGAAGAAAGCCTTCTATGTGCGGGGGAAGGGGACTGGGGGCTGGAGTCAGAGACTATCTGGGAAACTCAGCCATTCTCATCCAGCCTAAATGTCTCACTTTTCCAAACTGCATCTGCCTGGAAACATCATTCTCAAAATCCAGCCATGAACCAGCAAGTGGGAGGGAGAGTGCGAGCCTTTATTCTTATTTTAGAGATGATCTAGCAAGTGCGCTGTATGGTTTCTAAACCTGCAACAGATTAGAAGCAGCCAACTGAAAGTGCGGGGGTGCTGGGAGCGGCTGCCTCACAGAGGATACTATCAGGAAAACTGACAGCTGACAGCAAAAGCCAAAAATTTTCTTAATTAAAATTAAAAATGTTTAAATGTTTTATACTATATATTCCTTACCTGAAAATGGGAACAAAAATCATTATACAACCCAGGTTTTACTGGTTATTCAAAAAGTAAGATGAGATATCTATGAAAAGATTTTGCAGAGTACCGGAGAGCAAACTGCTGGTGGGAATGGAAAATGGTACCATCTCTGTGCAGCAGTATCCAGCATAATTACCCAGACATTTACCCTTCGATCCAGCAATCCTACTTCTAGGGATCTATCCCAGCAGTTCACTAGCAAAAACATGGAAAGACAAATGAACAAAGCTACTCATTACAGCAATGTTAATCATCACAAAAATAAACAAACAAAAACTGGAAATATCCCAATGATGATCAACAGAGGATTATTTGAATAAATTATGGCACAGGCACACAATAGAATACCACGTAAAAAAAAATGAAGAATTTTTTTTACCACTAGAAAGAGCTCTAGGATTATTTATTGTAAGCAAAAAAAGCAAGATGGAAAAAAGTATACGCTTTCATTTACCTAAAAAGTTGGTTGATATGAATATATATATACACACACATATATTTGTTTATAATTTTGAAAAGCAATGGAGGAATAAACCGTAAATTTTTTAATAGTTACATGTAGGAAAGGAATGAAATGGGATGTAGAGAATAAAAGCCAGACTTCTCTGAATATACCTTGTTTTGTACATTTGACTTTGGAAATGTAAATATTTTACATAATTTTACGTAATTACAAAACAAAATTAAATTACAAAAAGCAATCCCTAATAACCAAAAGTAAAATGAAACACTACAAATATATACAACTGGCAAACAGACAAAAAATAAGCACCTATCCTGCTTTTCCTATACAAATTATCTCAGGATAGCAAATAGCTGATGAGGGGAAGATGCTCTTTTCAGAAGTATTCTAGCTATTAAATAAAGACGTAATAATAGAATTTAAAATATCACCATTTTGCAATCCCTAATGTAATTAATGGATCTTAGACAAGATTATCAATGGTTGCTAACATCACAAAAAGAGATACAACCTGATGTTAGTTTATCCCAATGGAGGTACACAACAGTGTACTTAGCAAAAATAAATTAAACCTGCATCTGATCAAGCTTCTAGACCTAACTACCAGTTTATAATACAAGGGAGAGGGCAAAGCTATAAATTAGAGGAGAACTAAAAGCCATATCAACTAATCATACTCTATAGCCTCCTAGCTCTGAGGCCTCCTCCCCTCCTCCCCAGACTTCTATGTGCTCAGAGGGCCCCTCCAGCTCTAAGGTTCTCTGACTCTGTTCCGGTCACCTGTTCGCATCAGCACTTCCTCCACTATTTGTGCAGCACTCTTCTGCTGCTGCTGAGAGATAGGCCCCACGTTCTTCAGGAACCAGAAATCAGGTGCTGTCCAGGGGAGCCCCAGGTGCTGGGCATGGATGATCTTGTCTACAGCAAAGGCTCTGCCTATTAGATCCTTCGCCTCCTCTTCATTCATCAGCCAAATCTCCCGAAACTTCTCGCCATCAATAAAAGCAAAATGCCTGTGAAGGAGAGTCACCAAGCACGGCCAGCTGACCCCAGGGCCTGGCCAGGGTCCCCTCAATTGGCAGCAGGGAAAAAAATGAGGAAGAGCTGTAGTAAATCCTAGGCCTGGCCCCAACCCTGGGAAGCTGATTCCCATCTATGGCAAACTGGAAGCCATCCCAACAAGATTCAAGAAAAGGAAGATGACACTCAAGTAAAGGGACAGGAGAACACAGCACAAAGGGTTCTTTAGTGCCTGGTCGAGAGGTAACGAAATCACTACCACCACAAACTCTACCCCTGCCACCTCCATTCTAGGACAGGTGCCCAGGACCCACGTAACTAAGATACCTCATGGCTTTCTGTAGGTCCTTGAATTGCATCACAAGACGTTTGTAGTCCAAGGTCAGAGACTGGTTCTCCTCCTGAAATTGCTTTATCTGCTTGGCATATTTTGATCTCAGATTGTTAAGTATATCATGCAGGCTGGTTGAAGGGGAAAAAATAAGTTAGTCTGCAGCTGAATAGAAGGTGTAACGTATGTTCCTCTCATCCACCTGACTCAGCTCTACAACAAACCCTGAGTCAGATCGGTGGAAGGGCAGAGAACCCTCCCACACATTCCAAACGTACTGGGATTGTCCAGAACTCAATGCACTTGAAACAATCCGCAGGCCCAGACCCACCACGAGGCAGTCTCCTGCCCAGGGGTGTGATGGCAACTTCAACATACCATTTGTCAGTGTCCATATCTAGGGCCAACCTCACATATTTAAATAATCTACCTCAATTGTTTCATTGTCATGATTTGGATGTTCATTTCACTTCTGAAACAAGGAAAATTGAAAGGAAAAACTTAAAACTACACACCACAAGCCTATCATATATGAATCCTTCATCCTCAAAGAGCTGATACTGTAAACAGGTCCAGTAACTCATCTGTTCATTCATTCATTCATTCTCCAAACATAAAATGCCTTTGGTGCCAAGGATGTGTTTGAACACAAGGAATTATCAGTCCAGTCAAAGACAAAGACAAACGTTAATCAGAGTGCAGCGTGAAAAGTGCTATAGGAGAGTTTCACACAGGGTTCCAGGGCAGCCCAGAGATGAGGCATCTAACTTACCCAGGCTTGCAGGGAGGGGATGGCCAAAGACCTCAGAGCAGCAAGAGGCAGTTAAAACCTGGCCGACAGCACTGTGAATCCAGGCATGGCACAGCTCACTATTTCACTGCTAACAGGAGCTTTGTGCATGGAAACTTGTCCCATAAAATATGCATGGCAGGCACAGTTGTTAGACCTAGGACCATACTTCAGACTCGAAACTACTGAAGAGGCATCTTATATCAATGCCCCATTTACACAGGAGTAGAAAAGTTGAAGGCCAACATATTTTTAAGTTTAAAAATTCTAAGAAACAAAATTTTCCCTCTCCTAAGCATTATTCTGAAGTAATCAAAGGTCCCTCAACTGCAAACATTTATCATTCATATTTTCATGCTCAATAAAATGTAAAAAATCTTTAACTTAGTCTCTGATAAAAAGAAATTTCTAATCCATTCTCTTAACTATAGCATTCTAGGAGGCTTTCCAAATACAGGTGTTAAAATATATATTTTTTTTTAAGTAGTCATCCCAAAGCATTTTTTTCAATATCATGGAGTAAAAGAGTTCCTATGTGTCACCTAATTATAGAAGCTAATGAAACAAAAATAAGCACCAGGTACATACTAAAGGCCTGGGCAAGACGGCAGGCAAGAAAGTGGACAGAAAGAATGGCGACAAGAAGAGGCTCAACAAAAAGCCCAGACGGAGTCCTTAGCAACTGGCTGGAGGCCAGAGATGAAGGGAGCAAGGCTGGAGACTGGAAAACTGGGAGCGGAGGCAAATCTGGCTTCAGAACTCATATGCTGGCAATGACGGTGACTCTCCAAGTTGAACCGTTACGTTGGCAGCTCCAGAAAAAGTGAAGATGTAAGGTTGGGATTAGGGATATGAAGTTGGTAGTGATCAACAAAGAGGTGATATTCAAAACCATTAGATTGAGGTAAAAGGCTGATAAAATAAAAATAAAAAGCAAAGGGGTAAGGTAAGGCCTGTGCTTTCTGGAATATCTTACCTAGATATTCAAGAATTGTCAGGCAAGAAAAAGCAGACCCACCAAAGGAAATAAATACGGAATAAAGAAAGGAAGAAGAACAAATATTTTAGGGTCATAAAAACCAAAAGAGGATGGGTGCAGTGGCTTACACCTGTAATCCTAGCATTCTGGAAGTCCGAGGTGGGAGGATGGCTTGAGGTCAGGAGTTCGAGACCAGCCTGAGCAAGAGCGAGACACCATCTCCACTAAAAATAGAAAAAATTAGCTGGGTGTGGTGGGGTGCACCTGTAGTCCCAGCTACTTGGGAGGCTGAGGCAGGAGGATGGCTAGAGCCCAGGAGTTATGCAGTGAGCTAGGACGACACCACTGCACTCTAGCCAGGGCAATAGAGTCAGACTCTGTCTCAAAAAAACAAACAAAAACAACAACAACAAAAAAAACTAAAAGAGATGATCATGCCACTGCACTCCAGCTTGGGCAATAGAGCAAGACCCCTTCTCTAAAAAAAACAAAAACAAAGAAAAGTCCACTATCCAATAATGATAGGATCAGGCCTGACGAAAAGCCATTGTGTTTGGCTAGAAAGGCATCACTGATATCCTGTTGTGGGAAGTTTTAGTCCAGTCCTGGGGCCATGGGTTGCTATGGCTTGAATGCGTCTCCTCCAAAATTCAGTGTTGCCAATGTAATCACATTAAAAAGTGGGGCCCTTACTAGGCAATTAGGCCACGAGGACTCCTTCCTTGTGAATGGGATTGAGGCCCTTATAAAAGAGGCTTTCCACAGCCTTCTGCCAGCCTGCTCTTCCACTCTTCTGCCATGTGAGGACACCGTGTTCCTCCCTTCACAGCCCTCACCAGAAACCCAACCAGCCAGCACCTTGATCTTGGAACTCCCAGCCTCCAGAACTGTGGGAAATAAACTTCTGAATTTCTAAATTACCCAGTCTCAGGTATTCTGTTATAGCAGCACAAACAAAGACAGGAATTACGAAATGTTCTGGGCAGGGGTGATGAGGAAAGGAAAATGGCAACGAAAGCAAGAGAAAACAAGGTAGTACTTAGAGAGAAGCCGCAGGGTCAGCTAAAGGGTTTTGGGCTAAGGGAGACCCGTCTAAGTTTGAAGTCAGAGGGGAAGACGGAATGGTGGGGATGGTTCCACTCACCTCCGCTCTGCTGTGAGCATGAAACCCAAGCTCTGCTTCTAGCACCTCCTCCCGCCTCCCCTCTGACCAACTCTCTTCACCCACTATGCCATCTGTAACTTTCTGACTCCTACCTCCTTGCCTTCAGACCTGCTATTCCCAGCTACCTGCACTGTCCACCTGGCATCTTCCCTACTCTCTTTGCAGACCTGTATCCCCACCCCCTCACTATCCTACTTCCTCAGGAAGCTTTCCCAGGTGACTCCTCACTGTACTGATTTGCGTCTCTCTCTGATGTCCCCCTGTCTAGCACAGTGCACAGAGCGGGAGTTTCCCATAAATATTGTCCCCTGACTACTCTCAGTTCTCAGATAATCAGGCTTACAATACCAGCTCATTTATTCAGTATTACTTTCTGTTATAAGTAACTATCAAAAGGTCAACTGGTGTTTCTCTATGCACCCAACATTTGCCCAAAGTGTATAATCAACCTACAAGTGGAAAAATTCATAAATAATAATAGGTTATTTGGGCTTTGGGGGAAATCCTCAATCTTGTCTCCTTTGAACAAGGTGTCTCATTCTACTCTAATTCTCAGAACCTAGCACAGTGGTCTGGAACTTAGGAGACCATTCTTAAAGGAAGAAAGGCAGGAGGGATGGAAGGAAGGAGACAAGGGAGAAAGGAAGGATGGGTGAGAAAATCCAGGCAATAGGTACCCTTCAGTGTCTACACGAAAGCAGACTGGCACGCTGTCATGAGTACTTATGTTGGTGTTATTTGCAATGGCAAAAGAGAAATAGTCTGTGTGTCCATCAAGGGAGACTGGTTAAATACTCAGTAGCACGTCTGTGCAGTGGAGTACTAAGCAGCATAGGACATCATGTGACAGCTCTCTGTGAACTGATACAAAAAGGTCTTCAAGACACAGAACGGTGTGCATAAAATGCCATCATTTGTGTAAAAGCAGAAGGGGACGAGAATATTTATTTGTGTGTGCTTGTGTATGCATAAAGAAATTCTGGAAGAAACAAATGAACACAGAGGTGGGAAAAGGAACAACACAAATGGGAATTGGGAAGAAGACTTTTGCTCTATTTTCTTTTTCTGAGGGCGAGAGGGTGGAACCACTTGAATGTATTAACTTTTTCCAAAAACTCTTTTAATAAGAGTTCGTTATATTTTTCACAGCTTCTACCCCTGGAGAAGGGAAGAGTACATACTCATCCCCATTCTCCGCACAGAAGGGCCCAGAAGCCTGCTCAGCATGCTGGCTTACCGATTGATCTTCCTCTTCTGCTGGGATTTAATCACTGTGCTTTCTTCATCTCTCTTCTTCAGCACCTGGAAGTTGTACTCTAACTTCTCTTGGTTTAGCTGATAAGTTGCCTTCATCTCCTGAAGCTGTTGCTCAAGAATCTAAAGTTAAAAATATATATACTCATTGGCCCTAGTATAATCTGCGGTGCCTGAGGGCCCCGACAGTTTGTTCAAGTCACGTCAGAGGAACATTAGGGACAAGTACCTCTGCCGATTCTTAGAAAATCTATCACAGAGGCAAATTCAAGGTCATCTGGATAAAATACCAATCAATCAACTGCAAGCTATTAATAAAACCTGCATTCCTACAGCCTAAGAAAGACTATAGAGCTTTCAAGTCCAACTAACTTTGGACTTTGTACCAGACCTTTTAAAGATACGAGCAGCCCCACTAAAAACACCATCAAAGTTAACATTGCCACAAAAACTTGAAATTTCCCCTCTTTGACCTTCCAGCACGGCAGTGTTAGTGTTTAGCAACCCACATTCATTTAGAAGGAGGACAGGCACAGTCATCTTTTCTTTTCGGGTTTCCATTGGCTACACATATTTGTTCAGCAAATATTTACTGAGCGCCTACTGTATGTCAGACACTTCCTGGGTGCTGCCAGGAAACACTGGTGAGAAAGGCCAAGACCTGCCCTGTCTAGGAGACAGACAAACAAACAAGCGCTAGTGACAGGGAAGCAAGCCAGAGGTGAGCACAGGCTGTTCTGAGCCAGTGAGAGGACCAGGGGAGGCATCCTTGAGGAGATGGCATTAGCGCATCCACCAGAGACCTAAAGAATGAGTAGGTGACACCTGAAGGTAGAAAGCTCCAGAGAGAGGAGACAGCACATGTGAAGACACGGAGCTGAGAGAGGGAGGTGCTCTGGGGAAACCACGAGCAGTTTGGGGTGTGAGGCACAAGGCAAGGAGCTGTCAAAAAAGAAGCTGACAGCCACAGAGCCTGCCCAAGCTGGGCATTTAGAGCACTGTCCTGAAGTCGGCAGAGGCCACTCCGGCTGGTAAGCAGGGGAGGAAAATGACCAGTCCAGGCACCGTGCACAGATCGCTCTGACCGTCTGTGAAAAACAGACCAGAGAGAGGCAAGGCTGGAGCGGAGTCAGCAGGCTCTGCCTCTCCCGAGTGCGGTGCAGGGTGGAGAACGCAGGGAGGTGAGATCACCTGTTAAAGCAGGACATCTGGAGCTCTAGAGCCCCCTTCTCACCTCCCTCCACCAGGCACAGGCTCTTGTGAAGCAATCAGCAGAGGAAGGCATTCCGACCAGCCCCCCTTTGGGTCATCACAAGGAGGGCAACCGGCTAGGAGGTGACATAGGAGAATAAAGGTGGTGACACATCATCAGGTCAGCAGGTCAGTCATTTCCACGTTTGGTGTGGAATCTGCTGACTCCCCACATTGTAACGGAAGAATGAATCGAGTGCATTCTACTTAACTGTTGCAGAGATTTTTAAATCTCTCTTATGAGTATTTGAACATCATATACTTCAGAGCTGTAATATCTATTCTTTAACAGGTGGTGAATGAACACCATATTGGTCACTGAGATCATAACTAATTCTACCTCCAAATTTCTCTACTTTTTAGTCAATTTTTGATTTTCTAGTTAAATACTTTTCTTTGTAAAAACTTTTTCTGATTGTAAAAGTAATATTTGCTCATGGCTGAAAATTTGGAAAGTCCAGCAAATGGAAAAGAAGAAGAGATAGGAGAAGGGGGAGAAAAACTATCCATAATTCCTCCACCAAAGGCAACTTCTGGTAACACATTGGCATGTTGCCCTCCAGGGTTCTTCAGAAGTTGGAATCAAACTATGTCTACAATTTTAAATCCTACTTTTCTCCCTTAATACTATAACAAGAACTTCCCATGTTAGTTAAGTTTTACCAACATTATTTTAATGGTACATAATACTTTCCTATACTATTTTATCACGTATGAAATATTTATGTTTATCGTGTCATAATATTTTACCATTTCCCTATAGTTGTATTTTTATACTGTTTTGATAATTTTCACTATTATAAAATAATGCTGGGATAAATAGTCATCCTTGATTGTCATACACTGAACATAGTTTTTAAAAATTATAATTGATTTTGCTAAATGTGTGTGCTTATTACTCAATTGTCCAAAGATATTTTGCAAAGTTGTACCTCATGTTCCCAAGACTAATGGCAAAATATGATGTTTGTGGTTTACGAATCATTTATAAAGATTACAGTCTAACCTACCACAAAGGTTCCATGTTAAAGGTACCACAGGTATTGATCACACCTTCCCCTGTTTCCTGGGCAAGCATGAGCTTCTCCACAGTTCTTTTGGTGCCATCTCCTGCCCACAGGCTCAGGGAAAGAGGCTGCTGTCAGTCCCCCAACAGAATGGAAATTTAAAAGAGCCTTTCGCTCTGGCCTTCTAGGCTGACTGCGGAGATTGCACTGGCCCTCTTTACGCCAGTCTTGAGCCTGGGCTGGGCCAGCAGGATTCCCCGTTGAACCACAAGACTCTTGTTCCCTACCTCTGCCCCAACCCTCAAGCTCAACGGATTATAAGATCCTCGAGGGCAGGGACTGTATCTTGTTTATCTCTGTGCTTTGCACAATGCAGGCTAACAAATTTGTTAAGTAAATTAACTTACATTTAATTTTTTATGGGCCCAGCACGCTTCTGCTGCGCAACTCTGCTTAAATTTTTTATAATTAATATTCTGGTACTAAAGGTAACAGCCCCTAAATTTGAACTGAACCATGTTACAATTTTCAATGAGCATGTAAGGCTTAAAAATAAAACCATTTGCTTTCTGCATTAGGAAGTAAATGTTTCCAGCAGTTTTATTCTGGGGTGGTGGAATCCTACTCAATTGCATAGTGTTTTCAGCCTTCCCTTTGCTCCAGTCATTAATAATGTGATTTTTACTGGCACGAAGCACTTGAACTGTAGACATTCTATTTTTTATTTCTTGTACTTTGCCCATCAAACCAAATCTGTGTGCGCTAGATCCTTCCTATTATATTTTTGTGGTTTACAAGAAGTTTAGTTCCATATTTTAGAACTGATAGAGCGCTATGGATTAGTCGGGAAGAGCAAATTTGATGTTGAGCTACATGCCATATCTTCTTGACACAAATCAATGCCATTGGACTTGAATGTCTAATGAAAGCACACTATGATAAAGTTCAATCTCTTAAAATATTCCACGTGTTGCAATATGGGTAGTCCCTGATTTGATGATTTTTTTTTTCTAGTTAAAGTGTGGAAAGTGGTACAGGTACTCCCAGTTTCCATCTAGCATGAGAAAGAACTGTGAATGCAAAGGAGGTGTACCCCCTTTCCACTCCGAGTGCCCCCATCCGCCAGCCTCCCACATCCACACACGCCACCATATGGACGTGTCCCTCTGGACAGGGACAGCCAGGAGAGCCAGGTCTCCCAGGTCCCTTCTCTCTCTTTGCCCCCTGCCTTCCACCCCTACCCCATCATCTCCCTAGGTCCCAGAATTGTTGGCTTCATTCAAGTATCTGAACATCGGACTAAGAACATGAAATTCCATATATCTCACTGTTTGAGGCCAAAAGTATGTAGTTTTTTCACATAAATTATCATACAGCCAAGATAAATTCAGAAAGCTTAACAATAGCTGTTTTCAGTAAAATCACAGCCCACAGAAGTAGTGCCCTCTCTTACAGACTTGCATGATTCTGTCAGTAAGTCTCATTTCCATGACATTAATATGAGAAGAACTGGGGGAAATTCTCAAGACTGGTAAATACATTTTTTAGTCTAATGGAGTTTTTAATTTATTCTCATGATGTAAAGTTCCAGGAAGAGTAAGAACTGAAATTCTACCAAACGTTATGCGGAAAAGTTTTATCTAACATGTTTTTCTACACAGAGACTGAAATGAATAGACCGTACTTGAATCTTAAGATGCAATTACATTATATCTCAATGTAATTAGAGATGTATTTTTTTTAACCGGTGTTGAAACACAGAATCCTAGGCTGGGAAAGAACTCTAGAAACCAGAGAGTCTCCTCCTACTGCTGCAGGGATCCTTCCAGACACAGTCAATCAGCCTTTGCATGCTTCGAGATAAAGGACCCTTCGTTTTGGGGAACGCCTGTTTATTGTATATTGGATAGTTCTAGCTAGAAGCAGGTTCTTTCTGGTGGCGAGTCGGGATCTGCCTTACTGTACTTTTCCAAGCATCAGTCCGGGACTGATTGGAATAAGGGGAAGGATACAGGCTTTTGAGCCCAGACTGGGTTTGAATCCAGGGTTCACCACGTACTCCATATGCAGCCTTGACTCTGAGCTTCAGTTTCCCAATGTATAAAATGCTAAAATGCTAAAATGGTGATTTCTCCCTTTGGTGTTATTGTAAGCATTAGAGATACCGTTTGTTAAGTGCGTGGAATATGACAGACACTCATCAGATGATTGCTGTTATTAGCAGTAGTAGTCCTAGCTTGCACCCTCTGACACAGCTGCCTTGCCCTAGGGACATTTTCCCTTTGCCAGGCTAAAGTGCATAATTCTCTCAACAACTCCTCAGATGCCATGGTTTCCAGACCCCTGCAGCATCTTGGCGGTCCTCCTCCACTGGTTTCATAAAGAAAGTGTTCACCTATATATCCTGTACGTGGATATCCTCCCTTAGATATGATCGTTTAAAAGAAAGCAGATAATTAATATTTATTGAATATTTGTTAATCCTAGAAGTAGTCTCAAAAGATGAAACGTTCACAGATGTTCACCATCTGCTCTGCCACCCAGACACCCTAGTGAGGAGAAATGGTTGCACCTGCACATCCTGCTCCAGCTTGATCTTGATCATGTTATACTCTTCACAATCCCAGATCCTCTGCTTGTTCAGCTCCTTCTCATAGTCCTCTATTTTCTTAATGCGGTTCATGAGATATTCCAGCTGAAGGCACAGGAAGATAAGGGAAAAGTTAGGGACCATCCCCGCCCCAACTCAATCCTTCAGATGGCTTGACTAGTATGACACCATGGAGGGTTTGGAAGTTTTATGACTCTGGAGGGAGTCTGGTGGCTTTCAGAAGTCCAGAAGTCCCGTGGCTTTGAACTCTTGGATCATGGCTTATATTGCTTAATAGGGTCCTTACTCCAGAAATTCTACAAGGACTGCTCCATTAAGAAATTAAGCACATGGCCGGGCACAGTGCCTCATACCTATAATCCTAGTACTCTGGGAGGCCAAGGCAGGAGGATCGCTTGAGGCCAGAAGTTCAAGACCAGACTGAACAAGAGAGAGACCCTGTCTCTACAAAAAATAGAAAAAAATTAGCTGGGTGTGGTGGCATGCGCCTGAAGTCTCAGCTACTTGGGAGGCTGAGGCAGGAGGATCTCTTGAGCCCAGAAGTTTGATGTTGCAGTGAGCAATGATGACACCACTGCACCCTAGCCCAGAAAACAGAGTGAGACTCTGTCTCAAAAAAAAAAAGAAAGAAAGAAAAGAAAAAAAGTTAAGCACAGAACCTGACATCAGATGTTTATATTTCTAAAAAATCCACTGGATCACTTCTTTGTTCCTTATGTCTCTGAAATAAAATGATAATCTCACACCTTTTTAGAATGTGTCTTAAAACACCTTGGGCCACAAATATTCATGGCTGGGGTAGATGCCCAGGAAACAAAGAAGAAAGTGACAGGGCCATGGAAACCACAGCAAGCTGCCTAGGTGGTACTCATCACCACCAGAGAGACAACTTCCATGTGCAAGGCCACGCTGATCAGCTACGAGGTACAGTGGTGAATGTGTGCCACAGCAATGCTACTCAAGACACAAAAAGGCTAGCAAATTCAGTCACAGGAGAAACCACCCCAGATCAAACCAATCACCTGGACTCCCTCGCACCCCTGTCTGCCACCCTTTACCTCTTTGGCATTGTGAGCCTGCAGCGCCCGCTCCCATTTCTTCTTATTACTGGTCAGTAGCTCTTGTCGTTCCACCTCAAATGCTTTCTACAGCCAAGAAGGAAAAACGTTCCCGTGTCTGTTTTGATTGGGCAGGTTCCACCATACCCAAGAACTTTCAGATAACTGCACAAGTGCCAAGTCACCAACCACACAAAGTCAAATCCAAATACAGACTTGTCAAGTTTCACGTGACCAAATGGCTATAAGGAATTGCATGGAAATTACAAAGTCTATACTTCACACAAATGCAGAGAGGAAACGTGCCAACAGCCCTGTGGCTTAGTCAACGTAAGAGGCAGGGAGCTACAGGGAGGCCAGGGCCCTTGTTGGCAGTCACAGGGCAAATCCTGACATGTCATTCAATCATGTCGAGGCAATCATGATTAGGCATTGCCATGGTTGGGGTTCCCATGAAGCGAAGGCAGCATGCAGCTTGCAAGGGCTAGGCCTAGGAATGCAGAAAGGAGTCTCCAATAATCCACAGAGAGAGGCCTCTACCCTCCTGGCTCTCTTCCGTCTTGGAAAAGACTAAATCAGTCTCAATCTTTAACATTTCATTCAAATTCAATGTACTGCTGCCTGAATCCTGTTTGGCACTCCCCCTCACCATCGCCCACCCCCAGATGCCAAGAAAGAACAAATGAATGGCTCACATACATCCTATGGTTATGGAGAACTAACCTCCCTCTTTACTCCTCATCCTCTTGCCTGTCTTATTTCTTTCAAAGCACTTATTACCACCTGTCAAATTTACGCTGAGTAATTCATTTGTTTATTGTCAAGCTGTCTCCTACTAGAATGCAGGCTCCACCAGGAACTTTGTTTTGTTCATGGCTCTATCTCCAGTCCCTGGAACAGTGCCTGGCATATAGTAGGCACTTGATGAATCTTTGTTGAATGAGTGAATGAATGAGTAAACAAATTAATGAAACCCTAGAGCAGAATCGGAAATTAGAGGACAAAGACACCCAGGACCTCCTTAGATGATCAAGACGGACCCAGACCTCCCCCTCACGGGCCTCCCGAGTGCAAAAAGCAGGCCTTTTCACACCCCGTGTTACCTCAATGTGATGGAGCTCCTGGCGAAAGGTTTTCATTACATTCTTCACTTGTTCTTCCATCCTCTCTAGAAGCAGGCAGATGTCATCCGATTGTCTCTTCAAATCCTTCACATACTGGTCATCCTTTGTTTTTAACTCCTAGACAAGAGCATGTAAAAATGTTGGTCACGAACCGAAACAGAAGCAAGAGGTGCCAGGCACACTGTCCCTGCACCCCTTTCACCAGAATCTGCAAACACTAGGACTTGAAACTGTACAAAGAGAAAGTGACTTCAGAGAATCTGAGAAGACCCAGGGAAAAGCACATGTGGATGGAGTAGAATAGGCTCAGCTCAGGGCAAAGCTCTGACCCAGCACCCAGGATCAAACTCCTCAATTATCACTAGCTGCAAATCTCTCTGCAAGCTCCCGGGAAGCCTAGAGCATCCCAGCTGAGCAATTAATGTCCAGGTTCCAGCACGGGAACATATCTACTGCAGACTAAGTTCCATTCCTTAATTAAGAATATAAAATCTGGAACAGCATTTGCCATAAAAGTACATGCAGTCATGTACCGCATTTCAGCCAAAAATGAACCAACCACGTTTATGATTCCCAGGGTTCCCATAGGATTATAATACCATATTTTTACTGTACCTTTTCTATGTTTAGATATGTTTAGATACACAAATACCATTGTGTTACAATTGCCTACAGACTTCAGTACAGTCACATGCTGCACAGGTTTGTAGCCAAGGAACAATATGCTATTATAGCCTAGGTGTATAGTAAGATATACCATCTAGGTTTGTGTAAGTACACTCTGATGTTCACACAACAATGAAATTGCCTAATGATGCATTTCTCAGAGTTTATCCCCATCATTAAGCAATGCATGACCATATTTCTAGTAGGTAGCCAATAATTCTAAAATTATTACAAGGCTTTTTCTTCTGGTCAAAAGTTTATTACTTGAAAAAACATTCAATTTGGAAAAGAAGAGTTAAAATTATCTCTGTTCACAGATGACATGATCTTATATGTAGAAAAACTAAAGATTCCATACATACAAAAAAAACTATTAGAAACTTATTAACAAATTCGGCAAAGTTGCAAGACACACAATAGTTTAGGCATATACTTTGATTAATTGTACTGTTTCTTGTTTGAGATATAATAAACTACATTTTTGATTTAAAAAAATGTTGCAGGACACAAAATCAACATTCAGAAATCAGCTGCATTCCTATATACTAATAATGACCCATCCAAAAAGGAAATTAAGAAAATAATTCCATTTACTATATCATCAAAAAGAATGAAATACTTGGGAATAAATTTAACCAAGCAAGCAAAAGACTTGGACACTGAAAATTACAAAACATGGCTAGAAGAAATCAAAGAACATACAAAAGAAATGGAAAGACATCCTGTGTTCGTGGATTGGATAACTCAATATTGTTCTAATGTCCATACTATCCAAGGTGATCTACAGATTCAGTGCAATCCTTATCAAAATCCCAACATCATTTTTTGCAGAAATAGAAAAACCAGAAAGTTGTATGGCATCTCAAAGGGACCCCAAATAGCCAAAACAATCTTGAAAAAGAAGAACAAAGTTGGAGGCCTCATATTACCTGATTTCAAAACATACTACAAAGCAACAGTAATTAAGATAGTGTAGTACTGACATGAAGGTAAATATAGAGACCAACAGAACAGAATAGAGAGCCCAGAAATAAACCCCTGTATCTATGGCCAAATAATTTTTGACACAACTAAACAACGGAGAAAAGATAATCTCTTCAACAAATGTTATTGGGAAAACTGGATTCACATGCAAAAGAATAAAGTTGGACCCTTACCTTATACCACACACAAAAATCAACTCAAAATGGATTAAAGACCTAAATTTAAGGTTTAAAACTATTAAACTCCTAGAAGAAAACATAGGGGAAAAGCTTCAGGACATTGGATTTGGCAATGATTTCTTGGGCATGACACCAAAACCATAGGCAACAAAATAAAAAATAGACGAATGGGACTGCACCAAACTCAAAAATTTTTGCACATCAGAAGGAACAATCGCCAGAGTAAAATGGCAGCATACAGAATAGGAAAACATAATTGAAATCATATTTTTTTTTTTTTAGACAGAGTCTTGCTCTGTTGCCCTGGGTAGAGTACAGTGGTGTCATTGTAGCTCACTGCAATCTCAAACTCCTGGGCTCAAGCAGTCTTCCTGCCTCAGCCTTCTGAGTAGCTGGGACTACAGGTGCAGGCCACAACACCTGGCTGATTTTTGTATTTTTAGTAGAGACGGGGTCTCGCTCTTGCTCAGGCTGGTCTCAAACTCCTGAGCTCAAGCAATCCTCCTGCCTCAGCTTCCCAGAGTGCTAGGATTACAGATGTGAGCTGCAGTGCCCAGCCTCAATCATATATTTGAGAAGGGGTTAATATCTAGAATACATAAGGAATTTCTACAACTTGGCACCAAAAAATGGGCAATTAAAAATGGGCAAAGAATTTAAATACACATTTCTCCAAAGAAGATATACAAAATGGCCAATAAACATATGAAAAAGATGCTCAACATCTCTAATCATTGCATTTGAAATGCAAATCAAAACCACAATGAGATATCACCTCACACCCATAACTATAGCCACTATCAAAAGAAAGGGATATAATAAGTGTTGGCAAGAATGTAGAGAAGTCAGAACCCTTGTGTATTGTTGGTGGGAATATAAAATGGTGCAGCCATCATGAAAAACAGTATGGAGGTTCCTAAAAAAATTAAAAATAGAATTACCTTATGATCCAGCAATCCCACTTTTAGGTATATATCCAAAGCAATTCAAAGCAGGATCTCAAAGAGATATGTATGCCCATGTTCACAGCAGCATTATTCAGGATAGCCAAAAGGTGACAGCAACCCAAATGTCCATCCACAGCAGAATGGATAAAGAAAATGTGATATATGCACACCATGGAATATTTGGCCTTAAAAAAGAAGGAACTCCTGTGACATGCTACAACATGGATAGACCTCAAAGACATTATGCTAAGTGAAATAAGCCAATCACAAAAGGACAAATACGTATGATTCCACTCATATGAAGTATCTAAAGTAGTCAAAATCATAGAAACAGAAAGTAGAAAGATGGTTACCAAGGGCTGGGGGGAAGGAGAGAATTAGTGTCTAATAGGTGTAGTGTTTCAGTGTTGGAAGATGAAAAAGTTCTAGAGATCTGCTGCACAACAATGCGAATACTACAATATATAGTTAACCTTACTGAACTACACACTAGAAAATGGTTACGATAATAAATTTAACATTATATAGTTTTTACCATAATAAAAAAAAAACTAAAGAAAAAACGTTTATCATTCAAATTATGCAACATTCTAAGTAATGAAGTAAAGGCCTCCATGGTTTTCCATTCAGGAGACACAACGCAGTAATCCGTAAATCCCCCATTCAGACCCCCGGTGGCCGGGACGGGGCCCAGCCTCTTGCCTGCTGTAACTCGCTGATAAGCTTGTTCTTGTCCTCAATCAGGCCCGCACAGCGCAGCTGCTGGGTTTTGAGCATCTCCCACAGCTCCTGGGGAATTCTCTTCTGTTTGCCCTCTTCCCACTTTGCGGTGATTTCATCAAATTTGTCCTGGCTGGTCTTAACTTCGTTCTCCAGCTTCTCAATTCTGCAAATACAAACATACAAACATGCCGGCCATGCGAGCCCAGCTCCAGATGCTGCCTTCCAAGAGCGTCTACAGTACAGGGTCCCGGCGCCAGGCACGACCCTCGGGCACACCTACCCCGAGCCAAACTAAATACTGAGAAATCTTCTTTTAGTTTAATGCTTGACTAGAAGTGACTTAGACCAAGTAAACAAAGTGACACATTACAAAAACGGATCAATATTAAGGCTATACACACACACACACACACACAGATCAAGAAAGAGTGCACTGGGGAGAGACTATGCTGGATTATCCTGGTGTGCCCAACATAACCACCAGGGCCCTTGTGGGAGGGAAGCAGCAGTGTCAGGAGCAGAAGAGGAGATGTGATAACAGAAGCAGAGAGAGAGCCAGCTTGGGAGATGCTATGCTGGTAGCTTTAGCGATGAAGGAAGGAGCCAAGGAACATAGGCAGCCTCTAAAAGCCAGAAGAGTCAAAGAACAGATTCTCCTAAAGCCTTCAGGAGGAATGTAGCGCTGTCACCCACCTTGATTTTAGCCCACAGAGACTGATTTTGGACTTCTTATCTCTACACTTTTAAGATAATAAATTTGTATTGTTTTAAACCAAAAAGGAAAAAAAAAGAGTCCATTGGTCACATACTTCGGAGTAAGATGACGACACAATCATTAAACACTTGGTCACAGGAGTCACACAGCTTGTGTTCAAGTCCTGCTTTGCTACTAACTGAATCTCAACCTTAGACAAGTTGCTTAAGCTCTGCAAGCGTCATTTTTTCTCATCTGTAGAATGGAGAGGATGAAAATGTCTCCTTTCGTGCATGGCTGCTGTCGGGGTGAAATCAGGTGATGCCCAGCACAGGTAGTGGCAAGGTAGTCACTTAACGGTACTTAAATTATTAATTCTTTATTAGCAGCATGACCTCAGGTGTCTGGCTCCTCCTCTCCCAAGTTACCAATAAATGACTAGCGGAATATAGAGACAGAGAAACTCCACTACAGGTAATGGAAATAAGGATAGTCTTTCTGTAAATTCCAGAGAAACTCTGTGACAGAGTTTGGGGATGGGATGAGACTGAAGCCTCAGAGCTGAGCCAGGAGGCCCTAGACAACAGTGCTAGGATATTGCCAGAAACTCTCCCCTAATTTTAGCAGTCTGGAATTCTATGACAGTGTCTCCAAACAACAGTGCAGACCCCCTTAGAGACAGGAGTCACAACTTAAACACCCTGGGATGTTTAAACACACCTCTCTCTCCCTTTCCCACTCCCCATCCCACCTAGCTCGGGCACATGGCCCATATAGTAATCTAATTGACTTTTTTATGGCAAGAAATGAGAATCAGCTGTCAGGTCATCTTTCCAAAACACATTTATCTTGTAATTCTGCCACTTGACACCTTCAATCTTTTCATCAGTGGCTGCAGAATGAAGCCTAAGTCCTTCGCATGACATTCAAGGCCTTTCACAAGCTGACCCTGCCAGGAACCAACCAACTCAGTTCCTGGTACAACCAAGCAGTGGGAAGGTTCAAGAATAAAGTCACCAATTATATACTGGTAGAGCTGGCAGAATGAGGGAATTCCTTATGCACAACGACTAAAAATACTGTCGACCGTCCCGTGGATGTATGTGGTGAGATGAGCCAGCAAGTGGTTGCTCTTCTAATTGAACTCTGTTTAAGAAATGAATTGAAGAACAATGCAAAGTAGGGGTTTCAATGAGGACCTCTGTTCCTGCTGCTAGTCCATTTCTGTGTGCAAACCAAAGAAATATAATCCTTCTGAGCAGCTCATGCTCCCTGTAGGGGAACCTGGGACCTGGGAAATGGGAGTGCAGGGCAGCCTGCCTGCTGAGGATGGAGCTGAGGGTGTCACACGGGTTCCTGTGACCCTCCATCCTCCTAGGCATGGAGCCTTTAATATTTTTTTAATACACTGCTCTCTTTACACGTAACACTGAGATGTTTGCGGGTCTGCTCATGCTGATCAGTTTAAACCCAGGACTGCCCAGCCACCTTCTCAGCCTCATCCCTTCTTCCACCGCCGCCTGCATACATCCCTCACTGCCCTGCCGGTCCCAAGCGTATCACGTGGTCTCGTGCCTCTGTGCAAGCGCTCCCTCTGCCTAAAATGCCCACTTCTCAACTCCTCAAACTCCTGTTCATCCCGTACAGCCCAACTCAAATGTCATCCTGCCTGGGAAGTTTCCTCTAATCTCCGCAAACAGAATTAATGGCCTCCTCACGCGTGTTTCTACAATTCTTTACACGTACCTTTATTTTACCACAAATTATGGTTGGGTGTTTCCACATCTGTCTCTACTAGACTGTGAGTGTTACAAGCAGAGGCCACATCTCACTCCTTCTGTACCCACACAGCCTGCACGTGTCGGCAATGTAATGCTTGAGAAAGGGAAGGAAGGAGGGAGGAAGGGAGGAAAGGACTAGCTAAGTTGGACAAAGTCACTTTCCAGTGATTTGGGAGAATTTAGGGACCCATGGAGGAGATTACCTCCGCGTCCGCCAGCTTGCAGAGCAGGGCACTCCTTACCTCTGACGCTTTATCTCCTCCTCTTCCACTCTCCTGTGGGTCTCTCTGATATCTTCGGCGACCTGGATATTTGTCACCAACTCGGTGCCACAGAGCAGAAGTTTAGCCAATTTCTAAAAACCAAAAAATAAGAATATTTAAAGTTAGATCACTTTGTAAAGAATTTATAAAGTTAGAAACATTTTGCACAATTGTCTGAACTGTCTAGCTTTTCTACCCATTCACGCAGGTATCAACAGCTACTTTAAGACTTTTAAGAGTAGCATCTATTTAGCAACCCCTTTCTATCAAGACACTTGTGATGTCATGTTATAGCTTACGATTTCAAAGCACTCTGCAATTCTCACTGCACTTTATTTTCTTTAGAGCAGGGATCAGCCAACCAGTACACTGGCAGGTACTGCAGGTGCATCCGAGCCCTTTCCCCAGCAGATCTCCAAGTGACTGACACAGCCAGGGTCCTTTCTAAGAGTCTCAGTTGGGGAGGTGAGACAGATAATGACAGTTGCCCTCCAATGTCTATTTCCCCTTCTACTTTTTGTAATAGAACACCCAAATTTTTGCTGTGCATGTGACCTCCCAAAATGGGTATATATCCCAGCCTACCTTGCAGCTACAATTCGGTCTGATCAATGACACACGAGAAGTAATGTGTGCCACTTCTGAAGTGTGCCTTTAAGGGAAAAGGTGTACCCTCTGCTATCCCCCTTCTGCCCCTTCTCCCAGGCTGGAATGTGGGACTAAAGTATGAGGTGATGGGCAGACGAAGGCAACATAAGCAATGGCAGGAGGAGCTGAGGTCCCAGCATCAAGCAGCCCCTGATTCACAACAAAGGTGCACTACAATGCAGTAGGGAAAGGATGATCTTTTCAATTGCTGGGTCAATTGAAAATCTATTTAGAGCCAGGCATGCCTGTAATCCCAGTGACTCAGAAGGCTGAGGCAGGAGGATTGCTAGAAGCCAGGAGTTCGAGACAGTCTGGGCATCATAGCAAGAGATCCCATCTCTACAATTAGCTGGGCATGGTGGCTTATGCCTGTAATCCCAACACTTGGGAGGCCAAGACAAGAGTATCACTTGAGGCTGGGAGTTCAACACCAGCCTGGGCAAGAAAGCAACACCCTGTCTCTACAAAAAAATTTAAAAAATTAGCCGGACATGGTGGCACACACCTGTAGTCCCAGCTACTTGGGAGGCTGAGACAGGAGGATCGCTTGAGCCCAGTTCAAAGTTATAGTGAGCTATGATCATGCCACCACACTCCAGCCTGAGTGACAAAATGAGACCTTGTCTCTAAAAAAGAAAGAAAAAGAAGAAAGAAAGAAATGAAAGAAAGAAAGAAAGAAAGAAAGAAAGAAAGAAAGAAAGAAAGAAAGAAAGAAACTCTAATTAATATCCTCAGAGGGCCTTAAAAGACAATATTAGCCAGGTGCAGTGGTGAAAGCCTGTGGTCCCAGCTACTCAGGAGGCTGAGGAAGGAGCATCACTTGAGCCCAGGAGTTCAAGGATACAGTGAGCTATGATCGGCCACTGCACTAAACAAACAAACAAAAAATCAATATAGAGAACTGAACCTTGAGCCCTATCCTTACACTACACATGAAAATCGATTCCAGATAGATATAGACAAAAATTTAAGTGGCAGAACAATAAAGCTTCTAAAGAAAACATAGAATAGCTTCATAAACTTGGAGTAGACACACATTAAACAGGACCCAAAAAGAATAACAGTTTTAAAATGATTGATAAAGTACAAAGTCAAGGGTAGGGCCCAGCCTGCTCAGGCCTTAGGTTGGAACTGGTCATCAATACCACCTCGATCTTGAGGAAAGCGGCAGTTTTTGTATACATTTTTTTCCTCAATGCCAATGCGCCTCCCTACTTAAGTCCTAAGTGAAAGGAATCTTGAAAATCTGCTAATGAAAAAAATATTATCTCTTTGGTTTTACACTCAATTAAAGAGTGCTCAGGATGAACTGTATATCGGTATTTTCAAGACTCTAATATCCTTTTATCCTACCCAGAAATACCCAGAGATCATTGACTTTTAAATAAAAGCTAAGTACAAAGAGGTGACATGAATCATCTATTCTGCAGTAGGCGAGAGATCTGGAACAAGAACCCACATCAGTCTGATACTCTTTCCACTACAGTAAAATATCTTATCCCTAACACAGTACAAGTTATTCAATGACCTCTCTCTATCTCTATAATCATATTCAGTAACTTGAATTCTTTTCTCTCAGTAAGTATATTTATTTCTGCCAGAAATGATCTCTGCTCTCTATCTATTTTTCCCAGACTGCTCAAATCGCACTTTCTCCATATAACTTCCTGTGAGTGTGGTGAGCTCTTTTCCATATCTCAATTTACACAATAACACTGTTTAAGTGCCTTTCACTTAGCATCGATTAAATGTAGCATTTTGCCAGTTCTGGTTTGCTATTCTGAACTGCTACTTATCCCTCCTGCACCCCTTGTTTCAAGTCCTTTGTTAAGCATCCCAGGAGCCCTGTCATTGCCACAGGAGAGCAATTGATGCTTTTCTTCTTAATGTTTATTGAATACAAAATACTCACTACTCCACAGCTATGAAAAGAGGCTCTTACTCTCAAAGAAATTACAATTTTGTTGGGGACTCTGCATGCACACACATTTGAAAAGTCATGCAAGGCAGAAAACTATCTCTAATGAAATGAATGGCACAGACAAGAAGTATTTCATGTGTGGATTAAAAGGAGTTCAGGCTGGGTTGAGGACGCATCCAAAGAGGAGTTGGGACTTGAGATGCTCTTAAAAAATGGGAAGGTAGCCTGAAGAGAGGAGAAAAGAAAAAAAAAGGAGTGAAGAGAATGGAAGAAGGGGAAAATGGAGAGGCCTGGCATTTCAGATGACCAAATGCACAGAACAGGGATGAACAAAGACCCTTAGAAGTGAGTGCATGGATCAGCCTCACCAGAGTGGAAGGCCCAGATTAGGTAACAATGGGAGATAAATTTGGAAAGTTAAGACAGGAACAGACTACCCAAGGCCTTGAATGTCCAGGCTACAACATCTGGACTTTATTGTATAAATAGTGAATAACCAGTTACAATGCATGAGCAGAGAAGAGACAACCTAAATACAAGAAACTATAATCTGAAAGCTCGCTCCTAGAGAGCTCTCGAATGGGAAAGATTCCAATTCAGTTCTGCCTAGCGGGCCACATGGACTACCTGCTTTCTTCCTAGCTAAATATGGAAAGCATGGTATCACACCCAGCTCTCTAGTCTTCCAGGATGAACAGGGCCCATCTGCCAACCAGTTCATACCAATCTGCTTTCTTCTTTCTGTTTGTAGCTCTTGCTTTGATCTTCCTCACTCTCCTTCTTCCCATCTAAATATTCTCCAAGTGCTTCCCTGTGAGGGAAAAAAGGCAGAGAAATTGAAGTTATTTCTAGTACTTAAATTCTATACTTAAAGATTCCATTGTACTTCAAGCCATATATAAAAATACATTCCATATGGACAAACATTTAAATATTTAAAAACCACAATCATAAAAACACTAGATTAAATATAGGAGAATGTTTGTATAATCTTAGCATAGAGAACCCATCTTTGAATAAGACCAAAGTCAGAAAAAAAAAGATAGAAAGATTTTATTTCCTAAATTTAAAAATTTTATCCTTGAAAGTCAAGGGATAAACTGATAAAAGATATTTGACAAAATTTGACTATCCCAAAAGTGTCCATACAAAGGAAAAATTTTGTAAAATTTTGTAATGAATATTTTGTAAATAAATAAAGGTACATTTAGCTACGATTTCCCCTTTTCCCATGTATGGTGACTTTTGGGACCCACCTTATATAATAGGAAGGGCTCCTTCAAATCAATACACAAGAGACAAAATACCAAATAGAAAACCTAGCTGGGATATGAACAGGCAATTTACAGAAGAAATGCAAACAGTAAGTAGACATTTGACGATACGGTCAGCTTCACATACAATCAGAGAACTGAAACCCTGTGAGGAATCATTACTCTCCTATCAGACAAGAAAAGACTTTGAAGGTTGATAATGTCAGGTACAGGCCAAGGGTGTGGGATCCCAACCATTCACACTCCACAGGTGGGAATGTAAAATATAACAACCTATCTAAAAGGCAATTTGGCAAGATTTATCAAAAACTTAAACGTGCCTCCCCTCTGACTCAACAACTCCATCTTTAGGAATTTTCTACAGAAAGTTTTTACAAGCCCATAAAGCAATACAAGCAAGAATGATTATTGCAGCACTGACTATACTAGCAAAAACATGGAAGCATTTTAGATACATGTTAATAGCTGATTGTTTCAATAACTTATGAGGAAACAATATAAGAAAATACTTTGTAGCCTATAAAAAGAATGATATAAAACCTAGCAGCACAGGCTGGGCGTGGTGGCTCACGCCTGCCAATCCCAGCACTCTGGGAGGCCATGGTGGGAGGACTACTTGAGTTCAGGAGTTTGAGACCAGACTGAGCAAGAGAGACCCCGTCTCTACTAAAAATAGAAAAATTAGCCAGGCGTGGTGGTTCGTGACTATAGTCCCAGCTACTCGGGAGGTTGAGGCAGGAGGATCGCCTGAGCCCAGGAGTTTGAAGTTGCAGTGACCTATTATGATGCCACTGCATTCTACTCAGGATGACCTAGCAAGACTCTAAAAAAAAAAAAACAAAACCTAGCAGCGTAGAAAGATGTCGACAATAGTTAAGTAAAAAGAGCCAATTGTAGAATAATATGTAGAATATACATTATAAATTTCCTTTCTAAAACAGGCTCATATATGCATAGGAAATTTCCTGGAAGGACATATGATGAAGAGATAACAATAATTATTAATACTTAAGGAGTAGGAATAGGTTATTAAGTATAGAATGGCCAATTTCCTTAAGTGCTAAGTTTGACAGTTGATATCTCTGACATTTCACCTTGACACATCTTGTGTTTTGGTTTTCTTTTTTTATTGTGAATGTACATCCTCAGTCTAGCAAATGCATGTTTTGGCTTGTGATTATTTTTCACATTTTTTTAGAGCAATTTTTGTGAAACCATGGATAAGTCAAAAACTTGTGATACTTTTGTTTTTTTTTGTTTTTTGGTTTTTTTGGTTTTTTTTGAGACAGAGTCTCACTGTGTTGCCCGGGCTAGAGTGCCGTGGCGTGGTCTTAGCTCACAGCAACCTCAAACTCCTGGGCTCAAGTGATCCTCCTGCCTCAGCCTCCCGAGTAGCTGGGACTACAGGCATGCGCCATCATGCCCGGCTAATTTTTTCTATATATTTTTAGTTGTCCAGCCAATTTCTATTTTTTTTGCTCAGGCTGGTTTCGAACTCCTGAGCTCAAACAATCCGCCCGCCTTGGCCTCCCAGAGAGCTAGGATTACAGGCATGAGCCACCGCGCCTGGCCTTGTGATACTTTTGAATATGAGTTCCGTCATGGAACGAATGAAGCACAGACAGCTCGAAATATCAACGAAGTGTTTGGGAAGGATGTGGGTAGTGAACGTACAGTATGTCAATGGTTTGAGAAGTTCCATTCTGGTGATTTTAATCTTAAAAATGAGCCACGTGGGTGACCTGAGACCAAGGTGGATAATGATGAGCTGAAAGCTATAGTGGAAGCAAATCCATCTCAATCTATGCATGAATTAGCGGCAGGGTTTGACGTTACTATTCCAACAATATTGGATCATTTGAAATGAATGGACAAGGTAAAGAAGCTGGATAGATGGATACTGCATGAATTAAATGAGCATCAGAAGAAAAATCATCTCAAAGCTTGCCTTTCTTCGCTATCACAACATAAAGGTGAACCATTTCTGCATTATATTGTTATATGTGATGAAAAATGGATTCTTTTTGACAATCACAAGCATAAGGCACAATGGCTGGATAAAGATGAAGTGTCAAAACATAGGCCAAAACTGAGTATTCATCAAAAAAAAGCTAATGGTGTCTGTTTCGTGGTCCAGCGCTGGTATTATCCACTACAACTTCATGAAACCTGGTCAGTCGATTACAGAAGACCAAATGGACAAAATGATGAGGATGCTTGTGATTAAGCAGCCAAGATTGGTCAACAGAGACAGCGCAATCCTTTTGCAAGACAACGCTCAACTACATGTCACACAAACAACGCAGCTCAAATTACACAGGCTGGACTTGGAAACTCTCTGCCATCCACTGTTTTCACCAGACCTTGCACCAACTGACTACCACTTCTTCCAGGCTTTGGGCCACTTCTTGCAAGGAAAAATATTCACTTCTCAAAAAGCTGTGGAACATGCCTTTTGCGATTTCATCGCCACTCGCTCTCCAGGCTTCTTCACTACGGGCATCAGCAAGCTACCGTTAAGATGGCAAAACTGCCAATAGTTTAGGTGCATGCTTTGATTAGTTGCACTGCTTCTTCTTTGAGATATAATAAACTAAATTTTTCATTCAAAATCAGACATTTCATATTTAATGACCTAATTAATACATAAGGAATGGGAATTTAATTACCGAAGACTTGTATTTTCTACATTTTCATATTGCAAGAATTTTACAAATAGCACACGTGTGTATATGTGTGTGTTTTAACCAGAAAACGAGACTAAATGGGAGGGGGAAGATGAGGTCCCAGCTTATAGACTGCTGTGCAGGAGGCATGAGGGATGACCTCGCCAACCTCACCCTACTTACATTACGGAGGCCCTGCTCTCACCTCTGGCACCCAGTGGCTATGAGAGTTCCCAGTACCACCTTGGGGAAAATGAAACCAGCATCTATGACTTCAACATCCATCAAGACACCAGCAGATCTCTTTATCTCATTCTTTCTTTACCTTTTCTAACTTTGACTTCCATCTCCACTCCCTTTGTTCAAACTCCAGCACAGTCCTACGTAGTGTTACACCAACGTTGAGATACAGAGTTGAGTCACGATCTCCTACTCGCAATCAAACTGAAGGCTTTCTTTTCTTGTCATTTCATTCACTTTCCTATTCTTATTGAACCTGCTCTTTGTTTTCCTACTAAGAAAACTAATTGCTCCATTTTGCTCAGGTCTTCAGATATTGCCAGGCTTACAGTGTTCCCATCGCTATATTAAATGCACTCATTCCTTGACTTTCTACTTTGGCCACCAGTTAGTTACCAACTCTAAATAACCCCTTCCAGCTACTTCCTGAAGCAGAGATCAGTGCTTCAGAAAGAAAAGGAACTATGTAGTCCAGATATGCTACAAATTCCTATTATCCAGTTTTAACTTAAATCTCATCAGTGCCTTTTAGCCATCATTTTTGACTGCCTGGCACTGTCCTACCCAATATGGTTGCCACTAACCACATGTGGCTTTTAAGCACTTGAAATGTGGCTGGTCCAAACTGAAATGTGGTATGAGTATAAAATACACACTAGATGGATTTTGAAGACTTTGAACAAAAATAAAATGCGACATATCTCATTAATATTATTTATATTGATTGCATGTTGAAAGGATATTTTTATATATTGGGTTAAATTATTTTTAATTTTACCTGTTTTTTTTTTACCATTTTTAATGTCACTACTAGAAAATTTAAAATTACATATGTGTCTGATATTGTATTTACATTGTTCAGTGCTGACCTAGTATATTCCCCAAAGGAACTGTCTCAGACTTCTCTCTCCTCAGATTTGAACTCTCTTCTGGGGGCTGAGTACTCTTCGGGAAAGTTGTTTCCTCACCAAGGCAATATACATGGTCTGAATGGGAGCTGCCATCATCTTAAATGCTCCACTTCCTGACCAATCAAAGTCATTTCCTAGGATTTTAAGAATTGGAACTTGATTGATATTTGCCTAGGTTTAGGTTCTAGGTTAGAAATAATTTTCCTTTGGTGTTTCCTTCCAGTGTTGCTATTTAAGAAACCTGAAGTCATTTTATCTCTTACTCCTTTCTTTATATGTAACTATTTTGGGGGGCTTTGTTTTTGTTTTTTTCACTCTGGAAGCTTGTGGGCCCTTCTCTTTGTTCTTGGTGTTCTTTCTCAATTGTGTGCCTTAGGGTGGATCCATTTTCATCCATTGTGCTGGACATTTTCAATCAGGTGGTCCCTTCAATCAGGAAACTTATGATCTTCACGTCTGAGAAATGTTTTTTAATTCTTTCAGTGATAATGTCCTCTCCCCTCTGTTTTCTCTGTCCTTTCTTTCTGAATCTAGAAAGGATATACTAGATCTCCTGTACTAGTCCTCTAATTTTTTAAAAATCTTTTTCTCTATGAGTCTCTGTCTTTTTTTTTTTTTTTTTGCTCTATCTTCTAGGCAATTTCATCACATTTATTTCCCAGCCCTTCCACTGTTTTCCATGCCTATCATATTTTTAATTTCCAAAGAGCTCTATTTTTCTTCCTCTGAACACTCCTTTTAATGGCATTCTGTTCTCATTTCATGGTTGTTATATCATCTCTTTTTTCTCTGAGGATCTTAATGAATATCTTTTTGTGGTTTTTTTGTTTTTTCTTCCTACATAGCCTCAATTTCCTCTCAGGTGCTTTTTCCTGTTTGTTCATTTTGGCATCTACCTTTTGTGTTAAAGACTTTCCTCAGATGTGTGGAAATCCTTGGTTACCACCTCATGATAAGACTAAAAAGTTGATGAAAAAAATTAAATTAAAGCATTGGTTAAAAAGATGAATAAATAAACACTTAAAAGCGTTTTGCAAAAAACCAAAAAGGAATCCAGCTATAATGACAAAACAATTCTTACGACGTACTTTTTAAAGTCATTTTCACATATATAATGTAATTAGAAAACTTTGAGTTCTATATTCTAGTTGTTGCTGAGTGTGTCTATTGCTCTCATCACTTTCAAAATGTTCTCTAAATTCTTGCACATCTTGTCTGAGATGCACCAAAGACGTAAAGCTACACGTTTAATGGTAACTTTCACGACAATTTAGGGAAAGGAGACTAATGCTATCGATTTACACGTCACTATCTTCATAGGAGCTGCCTAGTTGTTGCTGAAGAAAGAGTTGTCTTTAAAAAAAAACTACCTAAAGGACGGTTTATTTAGTTATATGTCCATAAATACCTGATTATACAGAACCCAAGAATTTAGGGAAAATAAAGACAATTTAGTATCATTTCAATCTAAGTCTGTAAGTCATTTGGAAGCCTGTAATATGGTGACAGGATAAAGCAGAAAAAGTACATTTTAATAGTATGACAAATAAATATTTGAACACTTAAAAAAAAAGCTGAGGGGAGCTCTGAGTGCAAGAGTGTGCCTTGGTAACTGTGAACTTCAGTGTGGGCAGACCTGGATGTCAGTATCTTTAAGTTCTTCTTTTTGGGCTGGTCAGAGTCTACAGAGAAACTTCTCCAACCTCCTGCCTGGAGGGTGAAGGCTGAAGTGCCAGCATTCCAGGAACAGGGAGGAGAACAGGAAGCTCTCAGCATCCAGTGTGATGTCTTCCCTGAATCCCCTCATTTTTAGTGCAATATCCTTGCCTCATCTCTGTCCCACATCCCCCAAAACCATAGACTCTCGGCTTGACTTTCCCCAAACCGCCAGTCTTCTGCACTAAGGGGGAGAAAGGTTCTGAGGATCTAGCTATTAATTTTCCAATCACTTCTCCTTATTTTAGTCTCCATCTTCGCCCCAGATGGAATTCTACACCATAAACCATCTGACCAGGTGACTCACTGCATAGCAAAAGAGGTGCAGAAGTGGGCCTATGACTACTGGCCATATCACATACTGTATGTTCCAGAAGCGACCAGCCTGCCAGTGCTGAATGGCCTCATGGAGGCACAGGAGAAGCACCAGCTTGGAGGCAATGCACTAGAGTGATGTGCCATCCTCCAGATGCAATAATTGCACTGAGTCAGAGACTTCTCTATGACTGTCCCCGTAGAAAAAAATACACAGGCCTGACAACCAATGTGTAGAGAAGTTGGAGTGGGCCCACTTATCATCATTCATAATGACCCACTGGGGGACTTTGTGCTTCCTGTCTCCACAACTCTGGCGTCTGCAAGGTCAGAAGTCCTGGTGTCCACAGGGGTGTGCTCTTGCCAGGGCACAGAGCAAGGATTTCACTGAACTACAAGTTATGAACTAAAAGTCCCACATGGGCACTTTGGATTCCTTATGCCAAATGAACAGCAGACAAGAAGAGAGGTCATGTCTGGGTAGGGCAACTGATCCTGACCGACAGGAGGAGGTACAAGAGCTGTTATACACCGAGGACATTCAGGAAGTCAGGTGTCCTTAGCCCACTGTAACTGCGAATAGACAGGTGCAGCAACTCTAGCCTGAGATGCAGATGGTTATGAGGGTCTCAGACCCTTCAGGGATGAGGGTTTCTGCTACATTACCAGACAAGCCACTGAGACCAGCAAAAGTGACAGCTGAGGTCCAGCACATACTTGTGGAAGGAAGGCAGGCTGGCGGGGAGGAGGAAAGACCCCAGAGCGCAGGCCACGGATGCCTGAATCCCCCGTGGACGCCCACAGCGCCTGAGCAGCAGGCTCTCACCGAGGGCTGGGCGGATGGTTTTTTCTGTCTGACTTCACAACAGTGTGTTGAATGTTTTCACATCCCACACGGCTTGAACTTTCTGGAAGAAACGTATTCTATCTCATCAAGAAACCGCGCTCCCACTCAGGGCATACCGATCCCTTACAGCAGGGCTCGCACCCCAGGCAGGGGCCCCCTAGTTCCCCGCACCCCGCGCTCGGGGCATCGGGACCGCCCAGCCCCGCTCACCGCCTCCGGGCTTCCAGGCGCGCCGCGATGCGGAGGCGCCGGGCCTGGATCCGCTCCTGAGGGTTATCGGAGTGTATCGAGGGCCCAGGAATCGGGGTAGATAAGTGTTCGTTCACATTCTGCTCCAGGACCCCTAGCGACCCTGGCGGATTCATGGCAGGCGCCCCGGGCTCCCCGGCAGCTCTGTGCCCACCGCCGCTGGACCGCCTCCCGGTTGCTAGGAACAAGCGGTTGCTAGGGAAGGGCGGCCGCCTGAGCCGCCGGATGGTTGCGCGCGCAGCTCTCCAGGCCCCGCCCACCGCCGTTCGGAACCGTGTATCCCAGGTTGGGGCTTCGTTCCTCTCTCCTGCAGTTAGGGTGTCGGTACCGTCCCGGCCCTCCACGAAGGCCCAGTCGTATTAGCGGAGCTGTGGAGTCTGACCGCGAGACTAGAAGCCTAAAGAGGTGGACCGAGTTGGGTTCATCACTTACCGACCCTGACGGTTAATTCACCTTTCATTCATTCATCACGTAGAATTGAGGGCCTTACCATATGCCAAGCGCTGTGCTAGTGCTAAGGATATAGAAGTTGTCCTTTCCTCATGGAGAGTACAGGTATGCTTTTGCATCCATCTAGTCTTGCTCTTGCTCAGGCTGGCCTCCAACTCCTGGCCTCAAGCGAGGCCAACTCCCTCCTCAGCCTCCCAAAGTGCTAGGATTGCAGGCCTGAGCCACTGCACCCGGCCACCCATTCATTTCTTAGTTCCTACTTGATGCATTCGGCCCCTATGTCCTCCAGAATGTGAAACCACCCTGCCATCGATACATATATATATCTAGCAACAGCTTGTTGTCTTCCAAAGCAGTTTTCAGTAGGGCTGAAACCTAAAACAATCCCACCATCATCACTTGCAATCAAATACTTACAGAAAGAGGATAAAGAGGAAAAGGGGAGCAGAGGAAAATAGTGGGTGAGGGGGAGTAAAAGTTACAAATACAGAAGCATGCTTAAACTCTCAAAGCAGCACTGATCCCGGAAAGGCGCTATTTCCTGGGCTTTTTGTGTCTCATTGCCAACAAAAATAGTGTTCTCATTGAGAATTAAAGCCCTTTAAAACCAAATTGGATACCATTTAACAGGGTTTTGTCCCATTAGCCCGTGGGAAATTAACAAAAGGGTACTGGGTGAGCAGTGAGAAAATCCTAGCCCTGCTCTGCCCCTTTGGGCAAGTCACAACTTGAGGACCATGTTCTCAGCTGCTAAATGGTAAGTTCTGGCTGCCTACTCAACTCACAGTTAATTGTGAGGCCAAGAAGATCAGCCCTTTGTGAATAAGACTTAACCGGAGTCTGCAAGTGGCAGAGAGATTGAAGAGCGCCAAAATCATGGAACAGCCTAAAGAGTCAGACAGCTGCCCGGATCCTTGTGCATACCTACCTAGGTGGTGGTGGGAGGGGCGGCGGTAGTTGCTCCTGGGCTTCGGGGCCCTCTGCCAAATCCTTCTCCTTTAGCTGTAACCACAAACTCTTTCAGGTTCTGTTCCTTATTTCCACTACCTGTAAGGAGAGGAACAAGTATGTGCACATACATGCGTGGCTGGGAGTAGGAGGCCATGAGAAACTCAGTGGGAAAGAGCTGTTACACAAGAGGTAGGTGAGAGAGTAAAGGTACCATAAAAATCCATAAAGAGTGATCAATGAGATACTTGGCCCTAAAGTTGTCTGTCCCCAGATGACACTTCAGAGGTCTTTTGTAATAAGGAATCTGACTCTATGTGTTGCTGTTTGGTTGTTGACAGCTTTGAAGCTTCACCCCGTCTTTCTTCTCCATCTGAGCAAGCTGTTAAAAAAAAAAAAAAAAAAAGCCTGGGTGCTCTCTTTTTTGGTGCTGGAAGGAGACTGCAACCGTGAGCACTGGGCATCCTCATTCCAGCCCCGCCCCCTCATCACAACAAAAGCCCCAAGCTAGTCTCCATTCTTGGCTCTCTCCAGCTGTTTTCTGACCAGCTGCAAGGCCCTCCTTGCTCCCACAGACAGCCTCAATTATATAATAAACCTTTTTCATAGGTGTGGGAAACTGAATTATCGTAGGCAGTTAGTGGGTCTAGGTTATAGCTCCTCGGGTCAGAATTAAATCAATTTTACTCGGCACTGCACACATAGCACCTAGCACAATATCTGAGATGTAGTAAGTGCTGAAAATATTTTTTGAAAGAAATGTACACAATGTATCTGTATGCTCACTCCAATTCTAATATTAAAAAACTGGATATGACACTAAATTCAGCAATAGGGGAATTGATAAAGTATTCATGGGATTCTAATACAATGTAAGAATGAATCTGACCTAGAGAGACATCCAAAATGTATCAGATAAAGGGAAGATGCAGCACAATATGTAGAGTACGAGTCCAGTTTTATTTG